TTTTTTGGTTTGTCTTTAAGCTTTGGACTCCCCCTTTTGTACCTGAGAATCATGATGATGTCTACACTGACTCTGTCCTGTGCCTGATGTACAGCAGCACCCTGATTCCAGAGTCTGAGCTGCCCCCTGTGTTTGTCAGAAGGGCGTGGAAGCGGCAGAGATCAGAGCCGTCCTGTAAGTTTGGACTCAGAATTACACAGGAGGGTGTAATGTGTGGTCACATTTTTGTGTGAAGTGCTATGAAAACCCTTCTGCAAGAATCTCTTTGTGATTCGCAGCTGTCGGTTTTCTGTCATGATCTTGGTGCACGAAGTTGCTTTCTCACTGGAGGTAATAACTTTTGCCAATTAGCCCCAGGAGAGAGAAAGAAGCGTTGCCACGGGAGGATGGTTGTTCCTCCACCTTCGCTGTTTGACCGAGTGACTCCAAGAATAATGAAAACACGGCAGAAGAGCCAAGCTCAGAAGGCCCTGCCCGGGGTACCACAGAAAACGTATTTTGCAAGGCCTTTGTCAGCTCTCCCCAGCTCAGCTGCAGACACTGGGCAGGATGGCCCTGCGTGGCTGATTGCTGAAGACGTGGCACTGCTAAAAGTAAGACGGTCCTTTAAGTTTTTGTTGACTTCAGAAAGTTTTTACTTGCAAGTTTAGTCCAGCATCCGTAGGCCTTGCTTCGTGCAGGATTAAACGTGTTTGTGCACACAGGAAGAGTGTTTAACTGAAACATTTCACAGATGGGATTTCCCTCTGCCCCTCAGGCCATGGAACAGTCACGGACAGCTCCTCTAAAGCTGGCTGTTGTGTCACCAGCAAGGGCAGCAAACTGGGACTTTGTCAGCGACGTGGTCAACTCCTCCAACCACGTCTATCGCTCCCCAAGGCAATGCCAGAGTCGTTACGTAAGAGCCTTGGCAGGTCCAGAGGGAAAGGTGAGTTTAAATTGAAATGTGCTTTGCATTGGGAAGACTTGGGGGTTTTTTGCTTAGGAATAGGAATTTCTTCAATGCTATGACAGTTTGACCATTTTGGACTATCAGCGTATTAAAATAAGGAAGGGGAGCTGTTTATTTTAAAGTGGCAGGATATGAATTGTCTTCAGTCAAGACTACTGTTAACTATGATTTTTGAGACACTTATGATCACTTATTTTTGGTCCCCAAGCCTTGAATATCTATTTGTCCCAGAACATAGGTGGTTATCCTCCTTGTGCCAGAAAAGCCTCTGCTAAGGATCAGGATTGTGAGCGTGCCCAAGTCTATATGAATCACTTTGAGCTGGTGACAATGACTACTAGAAAAAGAAGTTCCTCAAATAGGTTTCTGTAAGTTTAATTTTACTGTCAATATTTTTCCCCAGATTTAACAGTAAATCCCTTTGGTGGCCTGATTGGTGAATTTTTTTTTTTTTTTTTGGTAAGCACAGAGGTATTTCACAGGGGCTTTTCTCTTGTCAAAAAACTCTGTGATGACTTTTAGCCTTAAGTGTCAGAGAATCAAACCTCTGCTTGTGCTGATGTAAAGGAAAGCCTGAAGTGCTTCAGTATTGCTCCATGGGATGCACCAGTTCCCTGCTCATCCCCAGCTGTGTCAGATCTTAACTCCAGAATTTTAAAATTCTTTGAGTTAAAACATTGTGATATTAAAATAGCTGCACAAAATTCAGTTACCTTAAGCTACTTCATTTACTTTCAGTGCAGAGAACTACAATAATCTCCTACCAATGTCTGGGGTTGTTTCCACCTGTGCGGAGCCTTTGACGGTGCAGGAAAAGGTCCGTTCGGTTTTTCCAGGTGAATTCCACTCTGTACGTTCTTTTCAGTACCTTTTCAAGTCTTTTAATTACCAAATCTTTTCAATTGCTTTCCCCTGTAAAAACAATTGCAAAGCCTGTTAATAAGGAAACATATAACAAGGGTATTTGGAAGACTGAAAACTGTTCTGTGTGGGTTTTGGCCGCCTAATCCCCTTTCATTGCCTCAGCCCTCTGTTCCAGACATCCACCTTTACACTTCTGTTGCAGTTGTCTCATTTTTGGGGCATTTCAGCAATGTCAGAAGCAGCCAACCCTGATATATATATATAATTTTTTTTTTTTTTGGTCAAGTCAGAATTTTGATTGCAATTATTGGTTTAGAGACAACTAGGAAGGATAAATCTTTACACGAATTCACAGTAACAATTGTGAGGTTTATCTGCTCAGAATTAAAACAGTTAATAAGAGGCCTCTTGCTGTGATCCCTCCTTCCACCTCTTTCTGTTGTCATAGGCCTTGAGTGAAGAACAAAAAGCTTCTCCCACACAGGAGCAACAACCTGGCCAGCAGCAAGAAGAGGAACAAACAGTGGAGCAAATCCAAACCCAGTGATAACCACAGGGGCAAACACAGGTCTCTTGTCCTGAGCGAGGGGAAGTCCTGTGAGCTCACAGAATCACTGAGTCCAACCTCTGACCCAACACCACCTTGTCCACCGGACCATGGCACTGAGTGTCACATCCAGTCTCTTCCTAAACACCTCCAGAGCCCAGGGACGGTGACTCCACCACCTCCCTGGGCAGTCCATTCCAATGTCTGATCACTCTCTCTGTGAAGAACTTCTTCCTGATGTCCAACCTAACCCTCCCCTGGCACAGACTGTGCCCTCTCGTCCCTGATTCCCTGGGAGCAGAGCCCGACCCCCACTTCTCTCCCCTCTCCTGTCAGAGAGTTGCAGAGTGCGAGGTCTCCCCTGAGCCTCCTCCTCTCCAGGTTGAGCCCCCTCAGCCGCCCCTCACAGGACCTGCGCTCCATCCCCTCACCAGCCCCGCCGCCCTTCTCTGGAGCTCTCAAGCGTTGTGTTTGATTTACACCAAACCCTGAAGGACAGCCCTGCCCGCACAGAAGTTACTGTCAATAAACGCGGGGTTTTTTTCCGTCCTGTCGCCGCCTCTCGTTCCTATCGCGACATAC